GTTGGTTTACCTCTGATTAAATTGTTATAGTCGCAAAAAGTGTTCTTTCGTTAGTGAGTAAACCATTAACTGAATTGGGAGAACCACCTCTCACGTGATCATCTTACATGTTTACTTTTAACACAGAATTGTTTTTATACCTTTTCCTTTTCTCGATTATATCAAGAAATAAAGGGTTTAATGTATAGTACGAGCTATTCTCTTAACGGTAGAAGAGTTGGGCTAAGATATGTATGCTCTGCTTTGTATTATTACAACTTATTAATGATTTTTGAACATAAAAAACCTCACTTAAAACTAATGTTATCCTAAACACAGTACACTAGATACCAATAACATATATGGTATATTATTATGAGATATAATAAAAAAATTTATTGGAACAAATATAAATCTGCGATACTTAAACAAATTGAAGCTCAAAAGTATCCAAAAATGGAATTATGTCTATAATTTAAGTCCACTTACAATGTGCGGCGATCCCGTTTTCACCAATTCTCCTGGATGCTCTGCTAGGAGCACGTCAACGGTTCGTTCAAATAAATTCTCAGGTGTTAAATAAGGACTTACGTCAACAGGTTTTTTACTATTGTTATTGTTAGTATTATTATTATTGTTGTTGTTATTGCCATTTGAATTTTCACTATTCACAGAGTTTGAAACACGTTTGGTAGGTGTTTGTTGATGGTTTGTTGTGGAACTCACTTCACTTGAAATGTGCATTTTGCTTCTATTGACAATAATAACAATTAACAATTTAAGTATATTTTGTTTGTTCTTTTTTTATTAATTTTTTTATTTTAGTTTTCATTGAATATGTCAGTTTTGTGGTTTTCTATTAGAACAAATTTTACACTGGTTGCTACACTTCGATAACAGAACCGACCTATTTATGGTATCTAAAATAATTGAGGATTATTGAATTTATTAAATTTTTTATTGAAATATTGTATATTTCAGTTTTTAAATGGAAACACTTAGAGTTATTGCCAAATATAGTCCAATATTAACTCGATTTTTCGTCCGTTCAGTATTGACTGTGACTTGCTATTAAATTGTCACAGACTGCCGACCGCTATTGAGATTAAAAATTTGTTTTTTTTTTTGTGTTTTAAACAAAAAAAAATTGCTTAAAAAAACATAAAATCAGGAAAAAAAATTACTAATGAGATTGTCAAGTAATAAAGTGGTGGCCGATGAAGAAATGTTTGCGCAAACCCACACACATGAACGCAACTGTTTCCGGAAAAGTGCGTGCGGTGTATCATAATTTCGAGCATTTTTTTCCTCATGGACTCGGTTATGTCCTTTTCGATTTTTATTTTAACAGAATGTTTTTTGAATTTTCAGCCAATTTTTTTTAATTGTCGTGCAATTTTTTAACAATTTCCGTTGTTTGGCAGTTTCTGTTTCAGTGAAATTAACATAAAAATATGAATGAAATGATTAACAAGACCAAATTTAAAAATACCGTAAAAGTCGATGTGATTTAAAAATAATAACTATGAATTAAATTAATCCAACAATGAATTCAGAAACCTTTGAGAGAAAACAAATTGTAAATGAAATTACTTCACAGCCATTACACACTCTATCTGTTGAGTTTACATTAGTTTGAGTTAATTGACCCCAGGATACCTCACTTATAACCCTAGTTTCTTAACGATATCAGTTAATAACATACTTAATAAAGTTGTAGTCATATAGATTTGCTAAGTATTGACCTTACAAGCATCTCCACTAGTTGTCAAACCAGAATATCTTACTTATAACCCTAGTTTCTTAACGATACCAGTTAATAACATACTTAACAAATTTATAGAGGGCTATGTATAGATCAGAGTCAAGAATCTGCAGTGTCGCATTGTCTGTTCGCTATTTGGAGGTCTTCCTGATGGTCTGTCTTGGTACTAATATTCTTTGGGCTCACTTCAGATTTTAAAAATTGTGACCGACATCTTTTGGACTATATCATATATATATTGTTGAATAAAAAAATTTTTTTGACGAAAATAACTTCACTCATACGCTATGTGGAACTGTATCAATGCTCAAGTAGCTACGGTATAAAATTTTGAATAAAAAGTGGCTATAATCTATGATGACTGTAATCAGTAGCAATGACGATAATGATGGCATTACTGAGCATACGTAGAACCTTTATCTACATTCAAATAATTGTCAGGATATTCGTTTTATTTTGGCTATTCATAGCGCGCTTTTTATTTCAACTCACAAAAGAAAAACAATTTTTATTATCAACGAAAAAAAGGACTCATTGTGCCAAAATAATTAAAAAGTGAAACAAACGCAAAGGACAATATTTAAAAATTTAACTTTTTGCTTTTCACAACCAATAAAATTAGCAACAAATGCCACCACGCACACAAAGCCAAAATACCTCTACTCGCACACACACACACACACACACACACACACACACACATACACACAATATAAATTTCACATCCGCTAAAAAAACGCGAAAAATATTTTCCAAAAAAATAAAAAAAATAAATAAAAATGAATAAAAAAAGGAAAAT